GGTAGAAAATCCTGACCCAGTCAATGACTGGGCTGTGTTGTCTTGGGGAAGTGTTTCTAGATCTCTGAGTACCAAATTCCTCTTCTGTGAAATGCTAGTAATAGAAGTACCTCATAGGATTATTGTTAAGAATATATAAAATTATAAAAATATATATAATGCAACTACTGTGGTGGTGGCAGGTACACCAGTGCACTAGAAATTCAACAGACACTTGTTTATAAATGGTTCCTTCATTTCTTTCAGGAAGTTAAAACTCACATTTTCTGCTCTGAGCATTAAATATCTTTTTTTCATGTTCTATTTCAATATTCTTTTTACTAATCACCTCAAAATCAATTTGAAGTAAGTTGGTATGTAAATGTGTAAATGTTCTGTATTTCACATACTAGAGACATTAACAAATATTACTGAGTGCCTGCTATGTGCCAGACACTGTTATATACAACAGGGATACATCAATGAATAAAATAGACAAAAGATTTTGCTCTCCTGGAGCTTATATTTTATTGAAAAAACAGAGTGAACAAAAAATGTGATAAATAATATAGTATGTTAGAAGACAGTTAGTACTATGGGAAAAGTAGACTAGGGTAATGGAGATGGGAAATGTGGAGGTGGAGCTGTCTCCAGTTGGAATTTTAAATGTGGGGAGGGAGTCATGGTAGTTCTGATTGAATAAGTATGTGAAGGAAGTCGGGGAGGAAGTAATGCAGTTATCTAGGAGAGCATAAACCACCTTGGCACAATTATGACGGTAAGAGAAATCTGACTCCATCTTGCTTCTAACCTCCAAGCTGTCCTGTTCATTCCTGGGTGTAGGCCAAGCTGACTTTGGGGAGAAATTTAGTTTATAGTTTAACCTTAAAGCGAAGATGATAATGGCCCTTCCCCAAACAACCCCTTCCTTGGTTGGGGGACCAAAACCGCCTTTGTAAAACTAACAAATTAGCCGTAAGATTAGAAATTACGACTCAGGAGTTACGCAGACAGAGGTCACAACATTAGTAACCTCCCCACTTGCTCCTATAGATATCAACTCTATCATAGGACCTAAGATTGGTGTTCAAGGTATTTCTCAGACTCTAAATCCTGCTGGACCAACTGGTGCCACCTGGACTGGTAAACTGGCTCAACTGGTTTTGTGATCCCATCCAGGAACTGACTCAGTACAAGAAGATATCTTCGACCCCCTATGATGTCATCCCCAACCCAACCAATCAGCGTTTGCCAATCCCTAGCCCCCTGCCCACCAAATTATCCTTAAAAATCCAAATTTTTGGGTCTTCAAATTTTTGAGTGCTGTGGGTGGGGGTCTGGATTCTTGATTTTGGGCTTTGAGTCTAATCCTGATGACTTTTGGTTTGGTAAAAAATCTTAGTTTAGAGCCAGCTCTTTTACATGGTTTAATAAAATAATCTATG